GAAGACTTGTAAGGGGAGAAGAAAGACATGAGAGGAGGAAGGAACCGGAACCAGAGAAGAAGGAACTAAAGAACTAGGAATAGCTAGTGACTCCTAGAGATGTCACCAGGAATAAGAGCGGGAAGTGGAATATCAAAAAGAGGAGACTTCTCCCTATGAGAAGGAACTGGATAGAAAGGAGATGACTCAACAAATGTGACATCCATGGAAACAAACCAGGTGCCACTAAGAGGATCATAACAGTGGTAACCCTTCTATGTGGAGTCATAACACCCAAGAAAGATACATTTCCTGCTAAGGAATACTTTGTGAACTAGGAATATGCACATAGCAAGTATAACCAACACTTTGAAAGGGATAGAGAATATATCCTCATTGAGGAAAAGAAGACTAAAAGGATATTTGAATCCAAGGACCTGTTGAGCACAAATGATTAATCAAATAAGTTGTTGTAAGAACAACATCTCCCCAATATTTTATAGGAACATGGGAGGCAAACAAAATGCTTCTGGCAAGAACAAGTCCAAGGTCAACAAGATAGGTAGACAAGAGCTACCCCATTTGTTGAGGGGTGCGAGGACAAGAGCTTTGATGAATAAGTCCAAAGTCAACAAGATAGATAGAAAGATCATTCTCAAAGTATTCCTTAGCATTATCGGATCGAAGTACTTTGGTACGAGTTTTAAATTGAGTGAGAACAAGTTCATGAAATTGTCTTATTAACTTTGGGACCTCATCACAAGAACACACCAAGTAAATTCATGTATATTTGGAAAAAAACATCAATAAACAAAATGAAGTATTTATAACCACCCATAGAAGGTATATGGTATGGCCCCCACACATCAATGTGCACAATATCAAAAGGAAATTTGGATCTTTTATTATTTAAGGCATAAGAATTTCTAGAATGCTTTAATAACTGACACTATAGACTAGAAAGACTAACACTTTTAAACAACTTAGGGAATAAAACATGCAAAGAGGAAAAGGACAAATGGCCAAAATGAAAATGACATAACATAATTTTATGAAAAGACTCAAACACAATTGACACCAAAGCCATCATTTGTGATGATAACTTGTTCTTTTTAGGCACGTCAAGCAGGTATATCCTATTCACCTCATGGTCACTCCTAATAACCTTCTGAGACTTCAGGTCTTGGAAAACCCAATATGTGGGAAAAAAAGGTTATACAACAATTCAATGACTTAGTCAAATTACTAACAGAAAGAAGGTTGTTAAGTTTAGGTACATGGAGGACAGAGGGCAAGGTAAGTAGGGGTGATCATGGGTCAGGTTGGGTTAGGTTTACCACTAATGTAAGGGCTTTAACCTATTCCCGRGCCTGACCTAGCCTGCTCCTGGGCCTAGATTGTAAGCCCAAGCCTGGCCTTACATGGGCCAGGGCCTGGCTTACAGGCTTTCTGGGCCTAATGAGTATTGAGTTTGGGGCTATGACATCCAATAATAAAAATTTATTTAATTATTTAAATTTTAAATTAAATAAAATGTAGTAAATGTAAAAGGGATTATAGCTGATAAGGGCAACTTTTGGGCCCTAATATCAATAAAAGTAATACTTTTAATAAAATTTCAAAAATAGGTTAACTTTTTAAAAATAATATCAAATAAGGGCAAAAACACTGTTCATCTTCTTCCTCTTTGCAAACCATTCATCAGCGTCGTCGCCCGCCGCCACTTTCTGCCGCCTCCGAAAACCTTCGGCAACTCCTCCGCCTCCGCCCACCCCTGGCAATGCCTCCGCCCACCTCTGCCTCTGCCTCTACCCAATGCCGCCACCTCCGCCTCCAACAACATTTAACTTTTTTAATCCATTCATCATCAAACAAGAAACACATGTCACTACTTGCTTAGGTCTCTGAAACCAGTGGGATTGGTGGTGAAATCATCGATGAAGAACTCAAAGTGTATGGTTGATGAAAATAAAGGAGAGAACCCATAAAGATGAATCTTAATGCTGAAATGTTGTCTGTCTTACAAGTTTGGCCACTGTCAACTATTTCTGCAACCTGCCCGAACATCAAGCAAGGGAAGAAAAATGTGATGAGAGCTGCAACAGAGAAAGAGATTAATTGGCAATYGTTCTTAAGTTTTCTTTCAAGAAAGCAAATTGATGTAAAAATTAAGAAGAAAGAAGATCCTTACTATTGGTGGGATTGTCCTTGCAGTCAAATAGCTCGGTCTTCCAGCCTACTTTAGTGGGGACCGTTGGGTATTGCACTACCGGAATACCAGGTTGTGGTGGTGGTAGTTGTGGTCCTGGTGGAGTCTTGTAGGGGGACTGTGGCTGTGGTGGGTATTGAGGTTGTGGACTTGGCGGAGGGAACTGCACCATCTGAGACTGAGGAGGGAATTGCTAGGGACTGGCCTGGGGAATGTTGTTTGCTGGAGATGCCTGAGGTGGGTAGGAGGCTGGCTGAGCAGGAGGATATGTCAGGTTCTGTGGTGGGTAGGAAGCTGGCTGAGAAGGAGGATACGTCGGCTTCTGTGATGGATAGGTTGCTGGCTGAGGCTGAGGCTAGTACGTGGGGTTTTGTGGTGGGTACTGTGCTGGTTGATACTGAGGGTTTTATGGAGGGTATTGTGTTGGCTGAGGAGCAGGTGGTGGTTGATCGAACTGTGGTTGCATTGTTGAATCATTTTCCGACAGTGGGTAAGATGGTTCCTGCTGGTATGTATTGTCGAGAGGTATCTTCTCCGGTTGTGGATCTTCTCCTTGGGGACAACCCATTGGCTATTTGGCTTCTCCCTCTTGGTTCCTCAGAGATTCCAACTCACACAGAGAGAGAGAGAGAGCAACTTATGGGTTGTATAAGCGGAGAAGAGATGCATCTGATCAACCCATTCCAGTAACAGAATGATAATGGACTAATGCTTGGTTTATGTATAATTAATTCTAAAGTCTGCATACAATACAACACTAACTAAAGTCTACGGCAAATAAAGTTTAAAAAAGTTCGAGCTGAGGTGGGCAAAGGTGGCAGCGGAGATGGAGGCGAAGGTGGGCGGAGGCGTTGCCAGAGGTTGCTGGAGGCGGCGGCGGGTGACGGCGCTGATGAATGGTTTGCAAGAGGAAGAAGATGAACAGTGTTTCTGCCCTTATTTGATATTATTTTTAAAAAGTTGACCTATTTTTGAAATTTTATTAAAAGTATTACTTTTATTGATATTAGGGCGCAAAAGTTGCCCTTATCAGCTATAATCCCAATGTAAAATGGCACAAGCCCAAGTTAAATTGGGCTTAGCTAAGCTTTGGGCCTACTTACAAAAAAGGCATGGGCCTCATTTGATTCTTAGAGTTGGTTTGGCTTGGCTTACCTATCCTTTTATAGATGAAGTCAAGACCTTTATTCCCATTCTTGAGCAATGTGGGACTTGGAACAACACTAAATAGTGAGTGCTACCATTGAGTGTTTTTCCAATCCCATATTGCTCAAGCAATGAGAATGAAGGCCTTGCATAGGAGGATAATTCACATACTTGAGTTAGCTCAAGTGTTCACACATGTATTGACATGGGTCAACTTATTAATATTTATTTATATGTTAATACTTAAAATTATATCTTATATAAAATAATAAGCATTTATTATAAAATAAAATATACTTGTATTTATGTAACATATAATGTAATGCAATATATATGTATATATTATATAATGTATAATTAAAAATATGTATTATATTATATTGCAAGCCGGGTCGGGCTTGAAGTGATGGGCCCAAGCCCAACCCAGAATTTCTCAGGCTTGATGCGGGCCTGGGCCGGGCCGGGCTTGCACACAAAAACTTGGGTCCAGGCCCAGAAATTTGTGGGCTGGGTTGGGTCGGGCTGGCCCAAGAATGATCACCCCTAAGGGTAAGGGTCTCTGTGGCTCTAATGTCTCTCTTTCCAAAAATAGGAGCAAGAGAGCCATTGACATGGGAAATCTTATCTCAGCCAGTAAAAGCTGATAGGAACAAAAAAAGATTAGGTATACTAGTCATGTGATTAGATGCACCAGAATCAATAATACGAGGGATACAATGACTACCTAAGAAGGATGCATGATTACTAGTGGCACAAGTACTTGACTGGGCAAAGGCTGTAGATGCTGAATTGTCTGTAGAGTTAGAGCTAACTTCCCTTTCCAAGTGATTTAGAAGTTTCCCATACTTTTCAAATTCAGCTCTCACAACTGCTAGTTGCTCAACAATATAGACTTCTCCTCACTAGGCCTCTTCTCACTATTTTCTATAATGGTTGCATTAGCATTTCCACCCTTTTTGTTATTTTTTAACCTCTCTGGCATCAAATGGGGATGAAGTTTCTTGCAAGTATCTCTAGTATGCTTAGGCTTCTTGCATTAATCACATATGGCTGCCTTCTCCTTCTTATCCTCACTACCCTTTGGCTTTACACTAGCATTAGTAAAATGGTTAACGCTTGCTAATGCTAGTGTTAGCATCTTCACTTGGTAGGAGTGGCTGAGAGTCAAGGAGAAAGCCATGGATCTTCTTTTGTTTCTCCCAGCCCCTTTCTCTCTTTCATTAGACCTATCATAATTAAAGGGGGGATTACATGAATGCCCCTAATTGGGGGGCTATTAATAATGATAAGAGAAACAAAAGAAATAAAAACAACAAAAGGGGCCTGAGGCCCATAATAACTAAAGCCCACAAAAATAAAAATAAAGAAATAAAGAAAGGAGCATCTAGGGAGCCATCCAGCCCAATATCTCAACAAGAAAGACCTTCCACAACATCATCTGACTGATTATTACTGAGTGTGAAGATCTTTGAAACTGCTAAATTTCAGAGATGGAAATTTGTTTTGTTGAAAATCTTAGTTTAATGCATTATAGGCACCACTTTTTGATGGATTCTCAGAGATTCTTTCATCATAAAGAAAAGATTTGATAGAATGAGTTTTTTTTTTTGACAGAAACAATAGATACAAGTATCTATGTTGGAGCTAAGTGAGTGGTTACTTGCAGGAACAAGGGAGACTGCACATGAAAAGCATTCAATAGCACCTGAATCCTGGGAAAGGAGTAGAAGCAGCTTTCTTGAAAGTAAAAGGAAAACAAAGATAGTTATAGGATAATCAAGGTTTGGCATGATTTTATTCATTTGTGCTTTATCTCACTAAATGGAATGAGAGTTTGATGCAGGAAGAAACATTTATTTATTTATTTAAAGCTTATTCCTTTTTTTTTTCTTTTTCTTTGACATATGGTTGGGATCTGATACAAAGAAGACGTGTAAAATGGGATTATATGGACCACTAATGTGTTCACTCTTGATTGGGTTATGTAGCCCATTGTATTCGTCTTGTCTGTAGCAGATTCGGAGTCTTTGAGATGACCTTATTTATCTACTGATATTTCATTTCCAATGTCCTCCCAGGCACATACTTGGCTTGTATACCACATCCCAAATTTTCTTAACAACGTGAAAATGGGTGGCACGTTGGGGAAGGGTGACTCACCTAGAAAGGGTTGGACTCCAGAAACAAAGCTTGAGGCAAAAATGGTAGAAGCAATGCAGAGGAGGGCATCCAAAGGATGTGTCATGAAATCATTTGACAGCATAGTCTTGAAATTCCCAAAAATTGACGAGAGTTTTAGAAACTGCAAGACCATTTTTGAACAATTTGGTAAGTATCATTTTCCAGTTTATAGATGCCTTCTTAGTTTGTATTTTTCAAATTTTGGAAATTGAACTGTAGCTAGCAAGGACACTGCCTGAGATTTCTGTAGCAGATAGACTTGTCAGGTCAGATGATAGGAAACAACAAAGCTTCATTTATCCTTTGTTTTTCTGTTTGGATTACACAACCACTGTTTTATTGTTTATTTTGGCCTGTTCACTTTGATGCATTTCCATTATCATAATTTGGCTATATTACACCTCTGTTTGTCAGGTTTTCTATGGCATTTTATCACTAACTAAAGTGATGGAAACTCATTTGAATTATATAGTTTCTTCATACATGTTTTGATGCAGATGAAATCCAATTACACTGAAGATGCCTAATCTAACAGTTTTTTGTGTTCATATCCCCCTTCCTCCTATGACAGATGAGGATTCAAATGGTGCAATAGATCCAGAGGAGCTGAAGCATTGCTTCCACAAATTGGAGATATCTTTTACAGAGGAAGAGATCAGTGACCTCTTTGAGGCGTGCGATATCCACGAGAATATGGGAATGAAGTTTAATGAGTTCATTGTTCTCCTCTGCCTTGTCTATCTTCTCAAAGAGGAYCCGGCTGCTCTCCAATTTGTATCCACTATACAATAGTTTTTTCCAACTCCCTTTTTCATCTATATTTGTTGTCTTCCATGTTTAGAATATAAAAGAGAGGTATACAAGGCGTATGCAAAGGGAACAGAGCCTTAAGCACAAACCCCAATACCAAAGGCTCTATTCCACAACYAAAAGTGCCTAGCCCTGACCCCAACACCATTGAAGTATTTTTAAGGAGTCTCCTTGCTCTTGAAGCCAAAATGATGGTATTTACCTTTTGAAGGATCTAGGAGACTAGGACTAGTGGTCACAAAGAATTCTAGGAGTGACCATCTGAATGGTAATTTCTAGCTCTCTGGATGTGATCATGTGTATGAAACAGTGAAAGAGAATCCATCTTGCAATATTCATTACTATCAGTTCTGACACAAGCAAGATCAGCTATTGCGTTTCCATAACCATGTTTCTAGAAATCAAAGATGGGGTTCCCTAATCTTGAGGCAACATTTGAAACATTGGTTGATGCATTCGTGTTCTTGGACAAGAACAGGGATGGCTATGTTAGCAAGAATGAGATGGTTCAGGCCATAAATGAAACTACTTCGGGGGAACGCTCTTCTGGACGAATAGCCATGAAAAGATTTGGTCAGTCTCTCTCTCTCTCTCTCCCTCCCTCCCTCCCTCCCTC